ACGTTAGAATTTTATAATATACAGAGCACCCTTTTGTAGTTTTCGAAAAGTTTATGATTATACACATCACACACATACACGCGCGCATACGCACGTATTTACTCATTCATTCAATATTATCATTCCGAACGTATCGATGTATTCCTTTCTACAAGTCTTGTGACATAATCGTGACATAATACTTTTTGTTCGTATATTCGTAAACATTATCAAATAAAATATTTAAAAATACATAGCTCTCGGAACGTCTAACACACGATTCTTTAACTTATACAATAATTTACAAAACATAAATAATTGCTAATGATGATTCCGCTAGATATAATAGCAAAACGATTAATAATAGTAGCACTTTATAGTATAATATAAATCGTACGAGCAAAATAGCAATAAGTAAAAGTAGTTCAAATACTAATTTACCATGGAATTTTCATTCCCTGTGTCCTCTTTCTGCTAAAAGAAAGATTAATTCATCGTTTGTTATTCAACTTTCTCTTAGTACGACCCATTAAATACTTTTCACGTACGCTAGTTTTGTACACATAACACGAGTACATGCACACGTTTGCAACATATTCCGAAATGAAGAGAATTCATTCCTTTACAGCTATATCGATCCGAATTTCTGTTTCGACAAGTGAACACTAACGTGTATTGTTTTATCGCATGTATTCATCATTTATTGTATAAATTGTTTCCTCCTTCAGAATAGATCGTGTAATATACTATAGATCTTTTTTTTATCTTTCTACAATTGCACAATATTTGGAATCTATAATCTACTTCTTACCTTCATGAAACATTTATGAATTACATTATTGAATCAAATTCTTTTTGAATTATTGGTTCCCAACTCGTAACATTATACATTAATATGCGATAAAACAAAAGAAAAGAAGAAATAATATCAAATGTTATATACAACATGAAATGTGTGTGTGTGTGTGTGGTGTGTGTAATAGTATCAATCGCGAGTAAGTCATGGATAGTTTTACTTTCTTAATCAATTTAGTAAAACTGCGGTTTCTCATCTTTTTATAGAAGTATTTGCACAACCTTTTTTTTCTGCATTTTCTAAAGGCTTTTTACAAACTTTATTCAAAACTTGTCATCGCAGTGATTTGTCAAATGTATTTATATGTGTGTGTAAAACAAAAAACCACTGAAAATATTTAGTTTCCATTTTGAATGAAAATGAAAATGAAAATGAAAATATAAAATATTCGAAAAGCTTGTTGCATTGTGTTGATGATTTTTTTATATTCGAAAATATTTTCCATAAAGAAGTTTTCCATTTACTAAAAAGAAATTTCACGTCGCCATTGCGTTACGTTTTTATATATCATAACCATAAAACAGAAAATCACAGTACTTTTCAATGTTCTGTGACTAGTTTGTAATAAAACGCTGTTTACTTAAAAAAAAAAAAAAAAAAAAATATTAAACTGCGCTACCAGGTAATTCTCTCGTTAATTAATACGAAAGCAATCCTACCGCAATGATGTATAGATTTACTATATAGATTTACTGCATAATCTGTTATCAGAAACTCTGCGTCAGTGCACAAATGACTTTCTCTTATCGTGTGTGATCTGCAGAATAATTAGCAGTATCTATCTTCGAATTAACTAGCGAGGTAATTAGCCTGCAAATTGTCAACAGATCTTATTAAAAGATAAATATGGGTACTATTTATAAGTTCCCGTTCCCTTTTCTCTTTACATATGTACTTACTGTACTTGTACACGTGTAACGTGGTAAAAATTGCACTTTTCTCCAACTATTTATTGTTTATTTCATCAAACTAGAAGTTTAATATAGATAGTATGAATTAAAATTGTTACTGTTTAGATGCAATTCACCCTAAGACATGTATATTCACTGTATGAATAGCTGTTGTTTGTTGCTGTATTTTACAACTAGCATCTGTATTGATATACTTTTTCCTTCCCTAATTTATCACTTCCCTGGTTTATGTTATTTCTCATTAATTTAACAAGGAATTTACATTCCTTCAATCTTCTAGAATATTTTTGTTTTAAGACTTACTCATGCTTCTTCTTTCATCTTCCTTTTTCATTGCTCGTCGCTGATTTTTTTCTTCTGCTTCTTTCACCACCTCATTCTTTGTTTCTTCTTTTCCACATTTTTTTATTACTTCTTTTCGTTCTTCACCTTTCTTTTCATTGGCCCCTGTCATCTCGCGGTTTTCTTTCTTTGTGTCTGACTTGTTTATTTCCACTTCATTTTCATCATTTGCTTCTTGTTCCTCTTCTCCCTCATCCTCATCTTCTTCCTCCTCTTCTTCTTCTCCTTCATCTTCCTCTTCCTCTTCCACAGATGAAGAATCACTATCGCTATCCGAACTTTCGGAATTTATAGAAAGTGAACAATGATCATATTCTTCGGGATCCGAATACACTTCTGCTCCAGGAAATATATACTTTCCTGGTGCTAACTGATAATATGAATTTTCTGTGGAAAAAAAAAAGAAAAAAAAATAGTTAGAACACACAATGTGTATTATACATATCCACTATTCTTTCTTCGATAACAGAATTTCCGCACAATTACAAAAAGAGAAAGAAAAATATAAAAAAATGTAATTAAATCTTCACATACCTGGTAATCTCACGGCGAGACTCTTTCGTACTTTTGGATGCCAACAGTGTCGATCTAATCTTTCATTTTTTAATTTTTCTTTGTCAGCTTTACCTTCTTGACTGTCGACGCTATTACAACTGTCGCCTACACCGGAATCTAATGCAGAATCGATAGAAACTTGTCTTGGTTTAAAATTCACTTTTTCAGCTTCAAGAGGATCTGTCGTAGAGTAATCACTATTTATTTTTAACGACAATCTATTCTCACGATGATGAGGCTTCAAGGCAGAATCTAATAATGTACTTTCCGAAGAAATCTCTATTATCCTTGGAAATACTTGACACTCTTCTAAACTGTAAATTTTCCCAATGTCTTTCGACGTAGATTCTACAGAAGCCGTATGAAATTTGTAATCAATTGAATTCTCTGTCAAAGTATTCTCTGTTTTCGAGGAGCATAAATTAAAGTCTAACATGCAATTGTTGCCAAAATTCATTCTTTTTGGACTACTTTCTACACTTGACTCGCCTAATCTTCTCTTTGGACTCTCCCCCAAAAGGTTAAACTTCTCTTCCATGCTATTCGTATGATCATTACAGAAAGGAGAAACACGCGCGTTCATATTTTCTACATACTGTTCTACGACATCATGAGCCATAAGACTGTCTTGACTTTCAATGGAACATGAATCGTGTATTTTAAAATCAGTCTCCATACTGTCTCGTGATACAGTATTTGACGTTGTATCTTGACTTTGCTCCCAAGTGTCGTCTGGTAAGCAATGCACTGATAAAAGTTGCGGTGCTTCCTTAAGGATTGTTTCTGTCCAGCATACTTCTTTGTAGTTATTCTCCATTCTACAAGAATGTAGACACATGATATGATATAACATTCTTTTCTATACATATTTCAGCAATCATTTCTTACAATTTCTTACAATCAACTTACAAGTGACACAGTTGGTTTATAATAATGTCGCCATCCCCCAAGAGTTCTACATCAAACTTCAGATGTGGCAACGATTCACGATTAATGAGAATTTGTGGAACGTGAGATGGAATAGAGGAAGGTATTAATGCTACTGGTCGGACCTTCAACGACGATCCGATCACAATTAAAAGATCACATTCATCTTTATCTTTGGCCATTGCATCGTGAAAAGCATCCGGAAGTCCTTCGCCAAAGAAAACAATGTCTGGTTTCATTATACCCTGTGTCACTAAATCTGTAAATTATAAAAATTTCTAATGAAAATTATCCCTATTACTAACATTTCCGTTAGCCGTAGCAGATTGCGCTGTCTGTTTTATTCGATCGTAAACATGGATCGTATCTTTTTAGTTTCAGAAATTGTTTGAACGGCGTATTGTAAACTGTACCCCGCAAATCTGGCTAAACAGCACGCACGGGTAACTTGATGCAACTTTTAAAAGTTTACCTTATATGCTTATAAACAAGCCAAGGTTTTACTCGTAGTTACAATTGATGTATCAACTTATGCGTAGATCAGAGTAAATGGCAACATCATTTAGCGAAGACGTATTCCGTAAAGAGTAGATAATGTTCTCTCATGGCCACCGACTCGCGACGCGCTATAGGAAAGACTAATAGCAAAAACTATCACTAGGTAGCTAGTTTTCCATACCACAGAGAAATTAGCAATGAAAAACTAGAAAATGACCATAGATCACATAACAATATCAGTAAATGTTATCAGTGTTTAATATTAATTATAATTACCTTTGTAATTTTCATTAAGATTAATCTCCGAGATGGGAGGCAAAGTATTAACTCGACATTTTGGACACAACGGAATTCTCTGGGAAAATATGTCTTCTCTAATGTCATCAGCCTTCACTTGATATTTACATCTCGTACAAGATGCAGTAGCAAAAGATCCTTGAATATTATGAAAAATTTATTTTAATTCCAAACGTTAAACAAATTTTTGTTTGTAAATATAGATATATATGTACGTATATATTTGTGTATTTATATATCATATGTCACTCACCATGGCATTCAATAACATTAACAATGCCTGCCACTTGTTCCAATGTATCAATATTTTGCGAGTAATTTCTTAAAAGTTTCTTCTGCTTGTCAAGCATTTTTATAAACCTGTGACAAGGGCTAGGTTTAAATTGTCCAGGATAAATTTCTCGTGCGAATTTATAAAACGGTCTCGGATCTTGACCAAAATAGTTAATATCAAACATAGCCTAATGGAAAGAAAATAATAATTGTAATAATAAATAATAAATGTAGAAGAGAAAATTAATAAAATTTGTATTTTATTACATATATGCAATACAGTATATTTTATTAGTGTATCACCTGTGGATCTGGTAAATCTGGAAAGTCTTGTGCCAATCTTGAGTAAATACCATCTCTACTTCTAAAATCAGGAATTCCACAACTGACACTTACTCCTGCACCCGTTAATACTATTATTTTGTTACTATTGCGTATCAACCTAACAACATCTGTTAAGGTATTTATATGCCTCAATTTTTGTCGTCGTGGTGGTTCCGACATCATATTTATTATAATCTGAAATGAAACCAAATAAAATATTAGATAACATGTACTCAAAACTAACATTTACAGTGTGTACTATGACATTAAATTTCTTTATGCGCACCTTCCATAGAGTCAGGTCATCAACCTGCTCAGGAATCTGAGTAGAATCCATAAGAAGGTGATGTAAAAGATCTCGAGGATCGGCGCCTATTAACATTTGTTTCTGAACCCACGAGGATGCATTCCTCCAATGATGATTAATATCTCCCTCTCCGGAAAAGTCAGAAAGTCCTGATAAATCAGATAAATTTGAAACAGTTGATGATACTTCATCCTTTTCGTCTGCCGTATCAATTCTGGAATATTATACAAGAAGATTTTTACTTGTTACAAAAATTTATTACCAATAAGATGTTATATACTTGTCATTATGATTGATATAATTTCAATAATCAATTGCAACGAAATCTAAACATGGATTATGGGTGTGTTTGTACAAATGAAACTTACGGACAACCAGTGTCATCACTAGTCGAGTCAATTCTCGATGGAGTTGCCATTATATTTGTGGCATCTGGTGAAATAGATGTTGATTTGGATTCATCGCTTAATTCGTTGAATCCACTATCTCCACCATATGTCTCTGTAATAACATTATGCAAACAATAAAACAGTAAAAGAGCATTTGCTTTTTTTCTTTCTTTACTATTTCTTTCCGTCTGTCTTTGCATTAATTACGAAAAATACATTTTAATAAAAATCAATTTCATTGTATAGTCTTTTCGATTTATCAAACGTAACAATATGAACATAAAAATAAACATGCTTGTAAATGAAAATATAAATTTATTGATAACAAAATTATTTTGGAGACATTCGAAAATTGGCGGGATACTGTTAAATTGTATAGAAAACCGCATACCCATCGTTTATGGGTCGTGCATAACGAAATCGTCTATCATGCCATCTGTGAACGTTCATCGAATACACCTTACTACACATACACATATATATACACACACGCACGCAACTTTATACTGTATTTATATGCCAGTTTTTCTATTTTCGCCGAGTGAATTCTCACTTACGGCCGTTTCCATAAAAGATGTGTCTTTGGGAGAGCAGTTCGAAACAATTCAATCAACAAATAATTTTATTGGATCACAAAATAAAAGATCTCGTAACATCGCTAAACATAGCATGTGCTGAACAAAATGAAAAAAACAGACTACGAGGCTAGATATGTGATACACGCAGAAACTGTCATGGCGGCTCTTGTCCCCGATCGAACAACGAACGCAACACAATCGCGGAAGAAAAGCGGACGCCTTCACAACCGCCATCTTGCAATCTTGTAAATTTCATTAACGAATCGACCATATTTTTATCAAAATACCTTCGAGTTCTTCATTAGGGGTATCGTGTGGCGTGCGACAGTCTTGTAAATCAGGTTTCACGCAACTGGTACCGTTGTAACCGATGCCGTCAACTTTTCGCCGCTTTGCTGGAGACGAATATTCTGGCACCTCCGAGCCCGACGCCATTTTCAACAGCAATGCAACGCATAGTTTGATGCGCGCCCACAACCATTCCCGCAACAGAGGTCGCTTGCGTCTTATGCCTCTAATGCCTTTCCCCTCTACTTTTTCGCTCGGTTTGCAGAACACCACATCGGTGACATGTATCCGCGCGTATATAAGCGTCAGGAGAGAAAGAAAAGGGATCGATATGCCTTCGACTCCGACCGAACTCCGATCAATTTGTTTTCGACTTTAAGTTCGAATAATTGACAAGTTTAACTGTCACTCGCCAAATTACACGTGTTTTTACGTCGTCCGATTGGAGTACGCTGCAATTCTATAAAAATGATCGATATGCAGCATTATTGATATTTTATATCGTAAGCACATCGCAATCATTCTTTACACCTGCTTCCATCGAGATGTTCATTTCTTGCTTCTAATTTTTGAGTATATTATCGCCGTGATAAATTTTAACGAGCAATTACGCGTTTTCTCGATCATCGACAATCGATTGGTCAGAAAATTTTTGGTTAAGTAATTTTCGCCTTAACTTCAATATGCGTACGTATGTACGCGTGCATACAATAAACGACACATATGTATTACACGCAATTGTGTATTTCTCATTGACCTTTACATTAACCGTCAATATGTAAAAGAAAAATTTTTCTTTATGCGATCGTGGAGTTATTCGAAACAGGATTGTTAATAAATAACGCATGATCGTATTAAAATTCATTATAGCGCAAACAAATTTATGTTACTTACGATGGTCGTTTCAAATTCATAAATTTGTCGTCTGCATTACAGCAATAGATAACAGTAAGACAGTCAGTATACATATGCGTTGTTATGATAAAAAAAACGTAAAATAAAAGAAAGGAGGATAATACATTTTTATTTCATTCTATTTATGTTTTATGTTTTTGCATATGTATAAAACCTGCAGTTCTAATTATTACACGAATGTATTTTACAATTACAATTTCTCTCTCTCTCTCTCTCTCTCTCTCTCTCTCTCTGTCTCTTTTTCTTTTTAAAAGAAGTATTAAAAAAAACATTACTATACCTTTAATCGCTGCATTTGAACTATAGAAAACGATTCTCGACGATGTTCAGGGTATATGGTTTAAACTAATTTTATCAAGAAACGTGCTAACGTGATTTCTGTCTCTATCCATTCTACAAAATAACAGAACACTAAAATTTAACCAGTATAATATAAAAAAAATGATAGATCTACGAGATGAGAATTCAAAGAGTACAATAAATAATGGGAAATACGGTAATTTAAATATACCAGGTAAGTCGATGATTTATTGAATAATAAAGTCATGGACATTATCAATTTACACAACTAGTTTACTGTGTTGTAATGCTGTTTAGTGAAGTTTTATTAATTTATGTTTAAATTAAAATTAAATATACTAATTGATGTAATGTAACAGATAAATATAATTGATTAAAAATTAAATACGATTGCATAACCTCAAACATTCGTGTGTATAGAATTGGGCCTGTACTATGCTTTCTGCTGGAATTTTATTATATTTTTTAAAATATCTGACGTTTGCTTTCGTATTTGCAAAATTTGTAATTCTTTTTTTTGAATAAGATTATCGTGAGAAATTTGTTATATTAGTGGTAAACAAATGAATATTTAGAGAAAACAATTTCAGTGTTAGATTTTTAAGATGATATGGAAAAATGGAATATTTTGTAAAATCCTGGAAAGGTATTAGTTTTATTAAATTTTAGTAATCTATTTGGCGGTTAATGAAATAAAATTGTCAGAGATATTTTTACATCTCTTTAGTCTATTACCAATGTTGTAACTAAATTATATAAATAGATCTAAAATATAATAAACTAGCATAATAATTTTACAAAATGAAAGCAAAATATTAATTTTCAGTAATTTTGTTATGATTTATTTTGTTGTTACTTAATAAATTTATAGTAATATGTATGTCTACATGTTTATATATATAT